AGAGAGAGAGAGAGAGAGAGAGAGAGAGGGAGAGAGAGATAGAGAGAAAAAGAGGGGGGGGGGGGGGGGAAGAGAGGGGAAAACAAGAGCTTGAACCCCGCGCTTGAAGGTGATTACATCGTATGGAGAGGTATTGTGAATTTTCTGCAAAACTGGTTCCAGTTTCAAAAGGCCACACTAGCCAGCCACTAGGCTTGGTGTGTATAGAACCAGGGGGAGGGTTGGTCAGTGGTGACACATGACCATGCCCGCCACTCATTTGCAATATTGATGCACTCTGATCCCATTGGTCAGACCAGATTCTGGATCCCCCCCCTCTCCCCCCAACTCCAGACCTGGTTGCTAGGTCCCCCCCTCCCCATCATTGGTCAGGTCGCTGGATCACCTTCCTCCAATCCATTGGCCTGACGGGGTCGCTAGATCACCCCCCCCCCCTCCCATCCCATCGGCCAGACCTGCAACCAGGTCACCCCCACCCTTGGTCAGGTTAGGTCGCTGGCTCACCCCCTCCCCCATGACACTGCGGAAGGCCTGGTCGCCAGGTCACCCCCCCCCCCCCCGCCATTGATCAGACCAGATCGCTGGATCACCCCCCCCCCCCCCCCCCGTCCCATTGGCCAGCCCCAGGTCACACCCCCCCCCCCACCATTGATCAGACCAGATCGCTGGATCACCCCCCCCCCCCCCGTCCCATTGGCCAGACCAGGTCACACCCCCCCCCCCCATTGATCAGACCAGATCGCTGGATCCCCCCCCCCCCATCCCATTGGCCAGACCAGGTCGCCAGGTCACCCGCTCCCACCCTTGGTCAGACCAGGTCGCTGGATCACCCCCCCCCCCCCCCACCCCCATCCCCGACCAATTGGCCTAACCAAGTCTCTCTCTCTCTCTCTCTCTCTCTCTCTCTCTCTCTCTCTCTCTCTCTCTCTCTCTCTCTCTCTCTCTCTCTCTCTCTCTCTCTCTCTCTCTCTCTCTCTCTCTCTCTCTCTCTCTCTCTCTCATGCCATTGGGCAGGCCATGTCGCTGGATCACCCTCCATCTCCGACCCATTGGTCAGACCAGGTCTCTCGATACCCCCCCTCCCTTCATCTCCAACCCATGGGTGCACCAGGTCGGTGGATCACCCACCCTCTTCCCGTTGGTAAGACCAGCTTGCTGGAGGATACCCCCCCCCCCCCAATCCCATTGGTCAAACCACATATCCCATTTTGCCACACCAGGTCGCTGGATTACCCTACTATATTCACAGCAAGGATATCCAGCTTCAAGCAATCATCCCCCCCCTCCCCCCCCCCCCCCCCGCATGCAGTCATACGACCATACAATCTTCACCCCATACACACGTACAATCCAGGTGTAACCTAATGTGTAACTTTCCTACTGTCCATGCTCAATCGGTTCAGGTTTCGACTGAAATAAGGTGCTACCATGTACACGGATCTGACCACAGTAGTGTCGGGCACCGAAGAACAAACAGGCTAGAATTTCACCAAGCACAGCATACCAATGTATAAACGGTGACTCAACCGTTCATACACTGTAATACATTAAAATAAGAATGATCTAGGCAAGGAGGCTACCCCCCCCCCCAGTTCTTCGGCACCTGGCAATGCTATAGTCACTCAGTACGCAACACACAAGGCAAGGTACTAACCGAGTGGCTGCTTCTCTGGGTAGTCCTGGCGTGTTGACGATGGTCCATCCACAATAGGTGTACCCTTCACGCCGAGTTTGGCATTCGTACCGAGAACAGCGTCAAACGCCTCTGGTTTGTTGTATGGTCTGTGGCCGTGCAATGAGTGTTCCGGGTAGTCGTCTTCAAACAGCTGGACAGAGACACACACACGTACACACACAGACGCAGACAGACACGCACACACACACACTACTACTACTACTATTGACAGCTGCCAGAAATGGCCACGCCGCTCCCCAAAGGGAGGTACTGTCAGAGAGGTTAGGGGAGAGGTAGGCAGTGCTTCAAATGGCGCTCCAGGTCCTGTCGCCTCCGAAACTGGCGTTGACTACAGACTCGGCAATGATGTTCAAAGTGCTGGCGATCAGTCACTGTAGGGCGCTTCGGGCGGGGTCCACAGCGATGGCGCTTGAGGCCAGCAGTAGACTTGAAAGTACGCTGGCAGGCAGTACACACCGGGACCTCGGCAACAGGAGGAGCATCAAAAGGCGGTCGGTCGTCACAGTTGTCACTCCCTAGGCACTTATGCACTGCAAGCCCACCCCTGCTCCACCAAGGTTCGAACGTTCCAAGACCCAAAGGCCAATGTCCGCAGCCTGTTTCTCCTCTTCCTCTCTGACAGCACTCTCTGAGCTTACACACACACACAAACAAACACACACACACACGACACTGACCGACGGGACTGACGTTCTACAACTAACTGGCTATCAGCTCTAGCACGTCTCGGATGCCCACTCCAACAGCCTTCCAACTAGTTACTTGGAAGGATTTCTTTATACCGTATTTCCGCGCATATAACGCCATGGCGTAATAGGTGAAACATCGCTGTTTTGGACCAAATTTTTGGAGAAAATAGCCTCGGTTTTAACGCCATGGCGCTAAAAGTGAGAGACACGTACATGCAAAAATCGGCAGAGTATGAACTTCGAGTACTCGCACGGTGCCGTTGCACGTTCATGTTGAGCATCCATGTACTTTCAATTTCCCAGAAAATTTCAAAATGTGAACCTATTGTGTACAAGGTGGCATGGAAACTTGTGTGAAGGTGCGGTGGCGGTATGGCATGTGACAGTGGGGATGGGTACATGCAGAGAGAATCACCGCTACTGTACGTTCACTGAAAGAATTGAACTCGCCTTTAACGCCAGATGCAACTTACTCCACATTGAATTTTGTTCACTTATAACGCCATGGCTTTATAAGTGAGGGTGGCCTTATATTCGGATATAACGCCATGGCTTTATATGCGCGGAAATACGGTAAATCTTAAAATCATAATTATAACTTATTCTGTACCTGGTCTCGGCTTTCCGCCACTGCTGACTTCACACGATCTCCTTCCGGCACCGACGTATGCCCACGGTACGAGTAGAGGGGATTGGAGGAGATGCTCGCCGACTTTCCACGCGCCCCATGGTGATTGCTGGCGGTGCTCGGTCGATAGCGGCGTGCGTCTCCCTCGCCCAGGCCTGTCGAGGGTTTAGCAGCAGCAGCAGCAAACGCAGCAACAGCAACATCAGCAGCAGCAACAGCAGCAGCGGCAGCAGCAGCGGCAGCAGCAACAACAGCAGCAGCAACAGCAGCAGCAACAGCAACAGCAGCAGCAACAGCAGCAGCAGCAGCACCAGCAGCAGCAACAGCAGCAGCAGCAGCAACAGCAGCAACGGCAACAGCAACAGCAGCAACGGCAACAGCAACAGCAGCAACAACAGCAGCAGCAGTAGCAGCAGCAGCAACAAGAGCAACAGCAGCAGCAACAGCAGCAGCAGCAGCAACAGCAACAACAGCAACAGCAACAGCAACCGCGGCAGCAGCAGCAACGGCGACAGCAACAGCAGCAACAGCAACAGCAACAGCAGCAACAGCAGCAGCGGCAGCAGCAGCGGCAGCAGCAACAACAGCAGCAGTAACAGCAGCAGCAACAGCAACAGCAGCAGCACCAGCAGCAGCAACAGCAGCAGCAACAGCAGCAGCAGCAGCAGCAACAGCAGCAGCAGCAGCAGCAGCAGCAACGGCAACAGCAACAGCAGCAACGGCAACAGCAACAGCAGCAACAACAGCAGCAGCAGTAGCAGCAGCAGCAACAAGAGCAACAGCAGCAGCAACAGCAGCAGCAGCAGCAACAGCAACAACAACAGCAACAGCAGCAACAGCAACAGCAACCGCGGCAGCAGCAGCAGCAGCAACGGCGACAGCAACAGCAGCAACAGCAACAGCAGCAACAGCAGCACCAATAGAGGTTATTTTTATTTTATTCCAAGCAATACATGGTCGGGGTAGCCAATGACCACTTTGCGTGGCGATTGCAGGGTTTTTATAGCCAACCATGGCTATTATGCGAGTGATGTGATCAGCTGGGTCGGACACGCTGCGGTCACTACGGTATTGGCCGGACCACTTTTTGCCCTAGCCTAGGTACCCCGTGCCCTAGCCTAGGTACCCCGTGAATCCACATAATACACTACTGTCGTCAGTTTAATCCGACGAACTGCGGCTCTCCTCGCCACTCCACACCACAACAAAAGACTCGTGCACACTGGGAGAGAGAGCGTTTTCTCTAACTTGCTTTCAGTAAGGCGACTGGAGAACTGCGCTCCAACAAAACGGACAAGAGAATATATTATGGGGACGTGGAGAAAAGAGGGGAAAAAGTGGGGTGAGGGATACTAAAAAGGTGCCTGTGCAAAGTACAACAAGGCCTGAACAGGACGGGAGACAAAGACGAACGACGGGGAAATACGACGGACACAAGACGGCAACCAGACAAATACAACGGAGACAAGACGAGAAAATGTGTATGCAACGGGGACGAGATGATAAATAATGCATACGGAGGGGACAGAAGACGGTGCAGCGGCATGTACTAAGCATTCCAAGACAGCGCAGCGGCGTGTACCACGGGTCAGCGGCATGTAGGACACAGAGACACATACGCAGCCACGTGTACGACAAAAGAGACACAAGCGCAGCCACATGTACGACAAAGAGACACCCGCGCAGCCGCATGTACGACACAGAGCTACAAGCGCGACCACATGTACAACACTACTGATCTGGGCCATTCTGGGATCTAAAATTATTTCCAAATTTTTCGGCTCAGCAACCCCTCCCCTTGAGTAAATTGTACTTCAGATGGCTGACCGTATCACACAGGAGCACCACAGGGCAGAGGGGAGCAGGGCCGGAGGCAGCTTGCGCAGAGCGGTGCGGCCGAAGGGCCATGTATAAGGGGGTCTGGGGGTCCTCCCCATAAAAAATTGGAATTTAGACGGCAAATCCTGCACTCTGGGCGACTCCCTGTACAAAATCATACATCGAGAATTTTTCTCCCCGGCTTTGGACGTTCCACGTCGACATTTTTTTTGGTACGGCCATGGCCGTACCGGCCGTACCAGTGGCGCCGGCCCTGGGGAGTGGTACGACCGCAGGAAAAATCCATTTTTTCGGCCAACAGGGCAAGTTTTAGTGCTCTTTTATTGCTTTTTTTTGGATGACTTAGGTGTACCATCCTGGACAATAAGTGGTAGGACCATTTTTGTACGGGTCGTACCGTGTGTGACGCCCCTGGCACTCTGGGGGGGGGGGGGGAACTAGTGTACTCTTGGTGTAAATACATCATGTGAAGTATTTCACCGGTCGGGGAGGGGTGGGGTGGGCTTTCCCACATGCCTTCACATTTTACCTGGCAGAGGATCGGGATCCTGGGAGCGCAGTCGGCGGAACGACAAGTTTCCAGAGAACGTCCCTGCAGCATTGTGCACCGTCTGCGCTTGCCCTTCAGATGATAATGTATCACGATAGCTAGAACAGAGAGAGAGACATGTGCACACACACACACATGCGTGTGCGCGCATGCACACACACACACATACGTGCACACACACACATACGTGCACACACACACACGTACCAAGTACACACACATACACACGTACACAAACACACACACACACACAGACACGTACACAAACACACAACAATGGAATATCAGTACGAGATAGTGGTACTGCCCTTGGCGATTGTTCCCTACTGACCATTGGAAAAATGATTGCTCCCCACACCAGAGCTGACAAGTGTAAAGTCAAGTTGGCGGAAAAGCACAAGCTCCGGTGAGGCGAGTACACACTTTTGCAATGGAATGTCACCGGGATCAATCAATACAACATCGCTGGCATCAAGCGCAGGTCCCTGGTTCGAGTCCTGGTGGTGACAGTCAACTTTTCGCTTCAGACTTTCCTCTTTTCCATTTCCTCAAACTATGAAAATAACATAAGAGAGGTTGCGTATATTTAAGTTTTGTTGCATTCCACGGATCAGGATGCAACAACAACTGTAAGTCGACAAATTTTCGGCCCATTCAAATTTCGGCCTCCCAGGGTTAAAACCCCTTGTGGCCACATCAAATTTTCGGCCTGTATTGCTGCCGCCTGTATACACAGTCACACTGAACATTGGAGAACAAAATTTCGGCCCCAACAAATTTTCGGCCAAACATGACCAGGCCAAAAATAGCCGAAAATAAATATGCGACGAATATTAAATGTTGTTGATTAACAGTACCCGGAAAAGTTGGTTGATTCAGACGTTGCGCAACAGGAGGAACGTCGAGATTTTCTTCACACCACTGGAAATACATGTACAATGTAGGTCTTGCAAGCCAGTTATGCATGCGCTTGGTGTAGGACAGTACGCAGGCAGGGGTGATACCATGGTTACAGGGCAGTAGGGAGTCTAGTGGTACGACCATGGGCATCCCTCGTACCTAATCCTGGTACTCTCCATGTGGGACCATCATAATTATTACCACCTGCTGCCGGGTCTCTGTATGTGTGCGTGTGTACAAGTGTGTGTATGTGTGTTTGTGTGTGTGTGTGTGTGTGTGTGTGTGTGTGTGTGTGTGTGTGTGTGTGTGTGTGCGTGTGTGTGTGTGCGTGCGTACATGTACTTCAAAATACATCCACATTTTTAGTTTGACATCATATAACAAGCCGGTGGAAAATCGTGTTCGGAAACAGTGGCCTTGCTACAACCATTAGGAAACAGTGCCCTTGCTACAACCATCCACGGTTGGTAGAGCCCTTTGTAATATGCTGTCAAACTAAAAATGCGTTTCTAGTAGTAGTAAACTTTCTACAATACAAGGTTTATCTAGAACATGTGCATGCACAGGCACACCAATGGACATGTGTGTATGCGTACTAGGGGTGAAACAATTATACCGAATATTCGAATACTCGTTTGGATTTTTCAACTATAATCGTACTCGGAATAAATCAGAGTACTCGCTCATACATGGCACATGCATTTACCACAGAAGTTTGCAGTTTCAGAGCAGCAGTCAGCAGATATTGATGTGCAGAGTGTGTGGTGAGCATTTGTACATGAGTAGAGAGAGAGCCCAAATGACCCACCAACCAATACACCCGAGAAAAGGACTGCCAATTGGTTCAATCAGGGTTGTACCATGTGATTTTTAAGGCCCTTGGTGTGCGATTTTTAGGATATCAAGAATACTCGAATATTCGATCGGAGAAAATCAGAGTACTCGAACTCGGGATCTCAGTGCCAACTTTCACCCCTAATGCGTACTAATCCTACCTACCTGCTCCTTGGTCTCGGTATGTTGAGTTCGTCACCATGACGCATGAAGTCACGCATCAGGGTGGGTGCACTGGGTGTGTGGGCAGCCACTGGATCACGCCCCGGCAACTCTCTCATGTTCTGCGTGTGGTAACCGGGAGTAACCAGCTGCTTGTCACGATGTTCCCGGAAATTTGTCGCTGGCCCTTTCACTCCCTGAGTCAAAACATCAACGCATCAACAGATCAATACATTAGAAAAGCAAAACATCAAACATTCAGAATGCCGTAAAAGCCCGTAATACAGCAGCCCTGGGCGGAAACATTAGTGAAGGTCCAGAACATGGGCGTCAATTTGGGCCTGGGCGCTAATGTGGGCAGGGGCATTATTTCGGATAAGTGAAATCGGACTTATTTTCACATCATAGGCATGCCGTACTACTGCATGCACAAATCAGGTTACTAGCGGCATAGTGCCAGACTGTACGTGTACACTAAGTTATACTACAGTACCATACACATATACATGGGGTTGTGCATGCATGCACTGCACGGTGTACTGTACACTACATTGCAGTACCATACACATACACATGGGGCTGTGCATGCATGCACTGCACGGTGTACTGTACACTACATTGCAGTACCATACACATATACATGGGGCTGTGCATGCATGCACTGCACTGTGTACTGTACACTACATTGCAGTACCGTGCGTACACATGGAGCTGTGCATGCACTGCACTGTGTAACAGACCTGTACTTTCGCCCATGGACGTTTACACGGAGGTGGGCTAGAAAATGGGATAAGAGTGTTGACACTGGGCACCTGGGTGTGTACATGGGTAGTGGGCGTTAAAGGGGAAGTATACCCTAAAATCAAATTTTCACCAGTTGTAGTCTTCTGGGTGCTGAGTCGAATGGTCTTGGTCCGAGGAAGCTGCGACGCTCCCTTCCTACTTGAATCCCAATCGAACCCGCGCACTTCCACCGAAACTGGGTGACTGCGCCCTACTGTGACTAGATGGGGATTTGTATGCAAAATCTCACTAAAAGTGCTATGTCGTTCTTATAAAAGCACGGATGACCGCGATTGGCCCATATATTGTGCTCTTTTGGACGCTGAGTCGACTGGTTTTGGTTTGAAAAGGCTGCGATGCAGCGTTCCTCCGTTATTCCCAATCGAACATGGTTGAACAAGCGGTCACGTGCTCCTGGGTGCCCAAATCACCTGGTCACCGCGCCAGCAGGCGACAACTTTTACACCAAGGTTCAACTCAAGTTGAACTCGAGTGACAGGACTGCACCCAAAAAAGGTCAAACAGGCTAGTAAGTTGTACCCTGCAGGCACGGTGACCAGGTGACTGGTGTACGCAGGAGCACGTGACCGCTTGTTCAACCATGTTCGATTGGGAATAAAGGAGGAACGCTGCATCACAGCCTTTTCGGACCAAAACCAGTCGACTCAGCGTCCAAAAGACTACAACATATGGGCCAATCGCGGTCATCCGTGCTTTTATAAGAACGAAATGGCGCTTTAGTGACATTTTGCATACAAATCCCCATCTAGTAGGGCGCAGTCACCCAGTTTCGGTGGAAGTGCGCGAGTTCGATTGAGAATAAAGGAGGAAGGGAGCGTCTCAGCTTCCTCGGACCAAGACCATTCGACTCAGCACCCCAAAGACTACAACTGGTGAAAATTTGATTTTAGGGTATACTTCCCCTTAATACGTTATATTGAAGTCTAAATGACTTGATGTCCCCACAGCAATGCCCTACCTTGAATGTGCCAGCTACGGGCTCCTGGAATCGTGAACGCCCTCCGTCCGGGTGTGGATGAGCGGTACGTGCCGATGTAGCGCGCCCAGACCACGAAAAGTTCTTCTCCTGCCGGTCGGCGTGGAACAGCTGTCCTTTCGGCGGCAGCTGAGCTGCCGGGGAGCGGAAATGTCCGTCCGTTCCTGCGGCGACACGGCATGAATAACACACGGACGTTACAGGACAAGTCTGACATGACTATACGTAATGAGTATGCCACCGGGGAGCGGAAAAGTTCGTCCGTTCCTATGGCGACACGGCATGAATAACACACACAGACGTTACAGGACCGTCGGAAAGCAGTTTTTGATTGGTCCGGCCCTGTGGCCATACATGCGTATAACGACACTCGGCGGGGCATCAGAAAAGTGTCCTTATTCGCGAAGGGTCCTTACACCCGAAGTCTCATTATATGTACATGTATTAGATTATTAGTGCGCGTTCAGACTACCGATAAAAAGTGACCGATTGGGAAAGTCGCCAGGGTGATTTGATCACGTGACGTTACTGGCACGTTACCGGTGGAAAAGTTTTACTGCCGCGGCTGCGGCGGCAGTAAGCTTTTACCGGCAGTAAAAAAGTGCTCAGGCTGCATGCGCGCTGGGAAAAAAGGGAAAATCCCTTGTCAGTGCCGCGGTGAGAGCTGAAAACTTCACGGTAACGTTAGTTTGTTATCGGTAGTGTGAATGTCCTTCACGGTTTATCGGCATTCACGGTTTGACGGGGTTCACGGTAGTCTGAACGCGCCCTTACAGTTAGATGGGACTTTGCTGGGCATGGAAATTCGGTCGTTATTCGCGAATTGTCGTTATATCCGCAGTCGTTATTAGCCAAGTTGACTGTACCCTATCCTTTCATACTTTGCATTATGATATAGCAGGACTGGTACAGATCACCTTCTCAGCAGTAAACATACGTTGATGGCCAACAAGTTACATGTAGTCCGGTGATGATGGTCTGAGCAAGCGGACCGGTTCCGCTGGGTCGGCACCAGGACAAGTATAACATGACTACACTCAGACCTCGGTTATCCAGACCCCGAAGTTACGGCCACTTCGGTCTACCGGGCACCCTTGGGCGCGTTTCAGTGAACCCTGAAAACTTCCGATGATTCCTAGAGCTACATGTAGCTGTCAGAGCCGTCAAGCAATTTGTAGTGTTCAAGTCTGCAATCACAAGACCTTAGAAAAGGAAAAGTTGGGGAAATGAACTCTTCCTGAAATGAGCAGAATTGCTAACTTACAGGCCCTACCTGAAAAAGAAAAGGGCGGGCATTTTCAATCCTACCCCTAAACCCTACCGTCCCAGGCCTCTATGGGTTCATCCGGGACCTCCTTTTAAGGCTTACCAGAGTACGTTTCCTTGGTGACTCCCGTTGGCGGCTGTCTAGTGCGTCCATCCGTGACTTGGTAGTGGGTGGACGAGAGGAATTCCTTGTTTGTCTGCTTGGCTGGCAGTGCACTGAATGTCACACGACGTGCTGTATCACCCATCTTCTCCGATCTGTTGCAGCCAGCTCTCTGGTCTAGCAGCTAGTCGGATGCCTATAATCAATGTGACTAGCTTAGCGTTGTGAAGTCAATGAAATGTTCCTGCGAAAATCGACCAAGCTATAATAATAATAATTATTATTATTATATCTGCTAGAGGGTAGTGGTGTGACGACACACATCTATTGACTTAGCAAGGTTCCTCAGCGCCTGTTGCTCTGATCATTTCATATAATTATTCTCCCTGCGACCGTCAACGCTAGATTACCAATGCGGGACGCACCAGTGAAACTGCGTCTACTTGAGAGCTGCTTCGGCCCAAAAGCGATGTCGGGTCAGGGGATAGGTCCGGGGAAAGGCAGACCTTCACACTTCTAACGTTACGTTCTTCACAGCAACAAACGTTGACACGGATGACTGACTTCGCGGCCACTGCCCACGATATAGCGCGTCAACACTTGGCAACACCTGTCCTTACAATTATCTGGTCTGGTTCCTGTGACTGGTCACTACGACACGAGGCACAAGTGTTACCACCGAGTGCTTCGACAAGACTGCACGCTACGAGTACAAGAACATCACACCCCGTGCCGTCCAATGTTTTCTCAGGCCGCCAATCAGGGCTGTGTTCTCGAGCTAGCTGTATAAATTTTTCAGATAGTCACTGAAGCAAGGAGATGTTTATTTTCCTTCTTCAAAGAAGTAGGGGAGAAGGGACAGAACGGGCAGGTGTGTCGGTCGACTAGTAGTGTCACTGTCAGTGGCCGGTTCATTTTGACTACACTCACTGACTCAGACACTCACTGCACGCGTGCCCTGGCATGGCAACCGTGGCCCTGGTCTCAAAACTCGAAGAACTCCTCGCGAGTTTCCAGTCAAAACTCAAACTCTTGCTCAGAAACGTGCAGAAGAAATGTGTGACATCACATCACACAATCGATGATGTTGTGACGTAAGATCAAGAAGTCAGGCGCTTTGTGACTTCAACGATGACAACACGGCTTCAAATCAAACGAAGTACAATCATTCGTGTGTATGAGTTTTGAAGGAGATCTATCACTGCCTATGCTTTCCAAATCAGGGTGGATGAAGAATTTCTCCTGACCTTGGCCAAGGACAATTGTCTGATCGCCAGCGTGAAGATAGTAACAATATAGTTCCTCGGTGGCCTTTCCCTCTGGATTTGTAGTTTCATTGCTACTCCTCGATCCTGCTCAAATTCTAAGTGAAGGGAGTAATTTAGTGAATTCTGAAGTGGAATTGACTCGAAGCACAGTGGGGGGACGACTTGAGTAGATTTTACTCCAGTTGTCTTTGAGTTCCAGGAAGCATGGCGTCTTTCTTCGGCGGTGGCGGGGGAAAGAGTTTAGAAGGTGTGTGTTCTGGCAAGCGATTTCTACAGATGATTTGCAATCCGAAACTGAAGAATGTTTTAAATTTGGAGTACAATTGTGTCTGTGTTAGGGACACGACGGGAGTTTTCGTTGGCGATTAATCTCTTACATGTGTAGTAGTATACCTGTGGCGCATCGTAGGATGGCTTGCGACGTCATGATAGCGTTTGGCATGCTTGATCAGCCTTAGGCTTGGGTATGTCTAGGGGATTTGCTGTTGACTGCACTGCCTTGGCCTTGGCAAGGCTGCATTGAGTGAGAGTGTGCTACAGTGCTCAGCGTACGCATCGCGAAATGCTCTTCTCGCGACTCAGACTGTACTACATGCGCTGCTTCCTGCGCTAAGTAACACTTGGCATGCTGTGTGTGGCGATGTGACGCTAAGTAACACTTGGCATGCTGTGTGTGGCGATGGGACTCAAACCTGTTGATTCCTATGCCGCATGTGCACGCGCTTGTGTGTGCATTTGTGTGTGTGTTTGTGTGCGTGTGCGTGTGTGTGCGTGTGTCTGCACAT